CGGATCCAGTTGGGCTTGTCCTCCTCCTCCAGTGTGATTTGTCCAGCTGACAGACTTAACCTATTCCTCCGCGGAGGTGGGATTGGTTGTGTGCTGGAGGAAAGCTGCTCCGGCACAAGTGGCAATGTGTCCCTCTCAGTGGCTGTGGTAAGACCAGGTGTCAACGCGTCTGGAGGGCACGACTTTGTACTCTCAAGGCTGTCAGGATGATTATTTAGCACTGAAGATAAGAGCCGTGTCCCTTGTTTTGTATGGCGACACTTGTACTCCTGCCAAGATGTGTTTGATGAATCTTGCTCGAAGATGCTTGATTGACCCGAGTGTCGACTACTGATATCAGATGGTGCCTTAACTGAATCAACTGACTTACTAACTTTCCGACAGTTACTTTCATTAATGTCCTCTTGGTCTGTCTTGAGTGAGTCCCACGATTGTGTCCACTGCCAAGTTTCAGGTCGCTCAATGTAGTAAGTCTTGTGCTTCTCCTGAACCTGGTGAAGCTTATCGCATTCCGCAGCGTTACTCCTGATCAGTTGAGTCTCGCCCCGGCAGGCTGGGGACATATCAGGGCAACAATCTTCACTCTCAGTGAGGTTGGACCCTCCGAACAGGTAACTTCTTACTTCCTCTTTTTCTTTTTCCAACGTCGGGCTAGACTGGACCTTGAACAAGGGAGATTCGCTTCTAAAATCGTCCTGATCTTGATCTAGAGAACTCATAGACTTCGACCGCACCGAATTTTGACTGAGGTGAACAGAGGATCCATGTGAGCCTGAGGAATCTCGACGTTCACGGCTTTCAGAAAGGCTCCTCAGCTGCTCTCTTACTTTCTCCCTAAGAGCTCTTCTTTCACGTCTCTCTTGTTGAATTTGGCGCTTCTCTATAGTTCTTCTGACGTTAAAGGCACTTGCTCTCGAAGGTCTGTTTTCTGAATCGCTTTGGCGGACATACATACGCGATGTACTGTCCTTGCGGTTTTGTTCTGCCTGGCTCACAATGCACACATTTATACCCCCTTCAAACTCTGTATCTATCTGAACAGGGACTAACCTGGATTGGGTTGGTTCCGTTTCTCTCAGAGATCGTCTTGTCTGTAGGTCTCTGATCCAGAGAGGCGTCGAATTCCCTTGGGTAAGACAAGAGGCAGATTTACTCTTCTTCCCATTGATAGTGATGACAGTTCGTCTGTTCACCAGGCCAGAGTCTGCGATGCTCTCACGGTCACTGATCACTACTTCTGCCTCCGAGGATGACCTGTTCTCCTCTGGGCTTTTCTCTAATGCAACACTTGCGGAATCAAACACCGAGTCCCTCTCCTCACTCCACTGTCTCGCATCGTTTTTCTGGTCCTCTTGCGCAGAGTTGTATGAGTAAGAGTAATCACTGGAAGTTCTAGAGTCACTAATATCACTTGAGGACCTCCTCTTTGCTGCAAGACGAGCAACTTCCTCCTTAATCCTTCTAAATGACTCTTCTGCCTCTGATGAAGAGTTGTTCAACAATGGGTTTGATCCCCCTACAGAGGTGCCAGATCTCCTGTAGCGATTCTCAAAGAGTTTCCTCCTTATCTCGTGCTTTGCATCTAGACCACTTGACTTTTTCTTTTCTTCTTTATTTGTATGTTGTGTGTGATTTGCCTTCAGAGTATCTGTCAACTCTTCTCTGAAGCTCTGACTGTATACCCTCAAGTTCCTTGCTATGTTCTCACAGTTTAAGCGCTTCTCTCGCTGACAATCCTTGTGACCATCACTCTCAAGTTGCACCTCGACGTTGACCACCCTCGGGATGACCAGGTCGGCCTCGAGAGCCTGCTGGTCAACTACCAAGTGAAGACTGTCTGCAGAGGATCGCCTGGAACCACGGGAGCTTCTGGACGGAGGCCGTCGGTGGCTGAGGGCGCCGCTCCGGCCAATGAACGCCTTCCCCTTCTGAGGCGCGTGGTCCAACCTCGACAGTGCCACCTGTTGGAATGCCACACTTGAGACACAAGCACCCTACAAGCTACTGCTTGGCACACAAGTAAAGACACAGGTAGGACAAAAGTGGCTAATTGGTAAACGTATAATTGGTTACATATAATACGGGAAAGCAGGATTAAAAACTCAAACTCTCCATAAAAAATCATCAAAAATATACAGGAACGTTAAAGATAAAATACATGGAAGATGCAGGTAAGACACGGTGAAATACAAGCTTAATAATAAGCAAAATATACAAGGATATAGAAGATATGTAATAGGATATACAAGCTCTTGTATATCCTATTACACACGAAAGGACATACCTTTGGTCACCGTAAACAGATGACTGTAGCATCTATTGTGAAAATGACACAAATAAAATTCAGAGATGTATGAAGATCACACAGCGCGCTGAGCTGAGATTGTGTGAGGGAGAGCGCCGGAACACAAGTGACCTACAGTCTCTTGGGCGGGCTACCCGGATCTCGCCCACGAACGCAGTCAAGACGTTCGTGTAGGCGTCCTCAGAACTGTGACGTCATGTGTCAACAAAGATCGAGATCGCTTACATCAGTAAAGTCAGAATGTTTGTAACTGTCTTTTGTTCAATCTGTTTTTACTGATGGGTGTATATATTTCTTATTACCGTAATAAAAAGAAATCTAAAAATATTTGAACAATAGGTCTATATGCGTATACCTGCTTGATGGGGTTCTGGGAGTTCTTCTACTCCCCAAGCCCGGCCACCACAGCCCGGTTGGTCCGGCACTTCTGAGGATGTTGAACAACCGCGGACCTCTGATGTTTATACAGTGTTCTCTAATTGTGCCTTAGGCACCTCTGCTCTTCACTGGTTCTATTCTGCATTTTCTTCCATATCGTTCACTCCAGTACGTTGTTATTTTACTGTGTAGATTTGAGACCTGTCCCTCCAGTATCTTCCACGTGTATATTATTTGGTATCTCTCTCGTCTTATTTCTAGTGAGCACATTTGGAGAGCTTTGAGACGATCCCAATAATTTAGGTGTTTTATCTCGTCTATGCGTGCCGTATATGTTCTCTGTATTCCCTCTATTTCAGCAATCTCTCCTGCTCTGAAGGGGGAAGCGAGTACTAAACAGTACTCAAGACGGGACAACACAAGTGACTTGAAGAGTACAACCATTGTGATGGGATCTCTGGATTTGAAAGTTCTCGTAATCCATCCGATCATTTTTCTGGCTGACGCAATACTTGCTTGGTTATGCTCCCTAAACGTTAGATCATCAGACATCATTATTCCCAAATCCTTTACATGCTGTTTTCCTACTATGGGCAGATTTGATTGTGTTTTGTACCCTGTATTATGTTCAAGGTCCTCATTTTTACCGTATCTGAGTACCTGGAATTTATCACTGTTAAACATCATGTTATTGTCTGCTGCTCAGTCGAAAACTTTATTAATATCTGCTTGTAGTTTTTCAATGTCTTCAACAGAGGTAATTTTCATGCTGATTTTTGTGTCATCTGCAAAGGATGACACGAAGCTGTGACTTGTATTCGAGTCTATATCTGATATGAAAATAAGGAACAGCAGTGGTGCAAGGACTATGCCCTGAGGTACAGAGCTTTTAACTGCGCTTGGACTCGATTTGATAAGGCTGACTGTTACTCTTTGTGTTCTGTTCAACAGAAAACTGAGTATCCAGCGTCCTACTTTACCAGTTATTCCCACTGACCTCATTTTGTGTACTGTCACTCCGTGGTCACATTTATCGAATGCCTTTGCAAAAGTCCGTGTATACCATATCTGCATTTTGTTTTTCTTGTAATGCCTCTGTAATCTTGTCGTAGTGGTCAAGTAGCTGTGAGAGGCATGATCTTCCTGCTCTAAATCCATGTTAGCCTGAGTTCAGGAGGTCATTGGTCTCCATGAAACTAGTGATCTGACTCCTGATCACTCTCTCAAATACTTTTACTGTGTGAGACGTTAGTGTGTGTGTAGGTGTGTGCACTCATAAGTTTGTACCTGCAGGATCGACCTTTAGTTCTTGGACCCCACTTTTATAGCCGTCGGTTGTCTAAAGCAATGACTCTTCACCTGTTTATTGTATCTACTTATGAAATTATAAATGGACTTCGCTTCTATAACCTGTTCATCAGTTCTTTCCATTTTCCTAATACCAATCCGTCTAAACTTCTCAACATCTCTCTGGCTCGTCTATCTCCCACTGTTCCATCCATCCTCTCTTGTTCTGTTGCCATCTATTGTTAACATTTACTATTTCCCCCACAATCCCCCTAAGTATTTCATACGTCTCTGTCATGTCTCGTCTCTGCTCACCTGTTTCAATTGAAACAGAAACTCATGTGTTTATCTAAAGTTAGACCCGGAATTATTTGTGTACCCAAAGACCAGGTCAAGTTACACATTAGAGAAGGCAGTTTGGTCTACATTGGCTTCACATAATAGCATTGTCTTGGCCCACATATTTGTTCACATTGCCTTCATTTATCGCATGATTGTTTTTTCAACATTGTCAATGTTTACTTTGTGTTTAGAGAGTTGGTTGATGTTTTATTATTAATAAATATATGCAGGGTATTTGACATTAATAATTATATATATATATATATATATATATATATATATATATATATATATATATATATATATATATATATATATATATATATATATATAAATTATTATATAATACATATATAAATTTTTATGTAGGAGTTCTATTGAGCATGAAAATTATTTCAAGGGTTTGACAAGGGTAAAGGTTGAGAAACGGTGGTGTATACCACAGTGTACCCGTGTACCAGAGTGTACCCGTGTACCACAGTGTACCCGTGTACCACAGTGTACCCGTGTACCACAGTTTACCCGTGTACCACAGTGTACCTGTGTACCTCTCCCCCACAACCCTGAGGCCCAAGCCATGACCCCATACACGTTATTATGAGAGCACGGAGACCACCAAGTGTAGTGAGACAGCTGGGTCCTCTCTTCCCACACGCTATGTGCGCTACTCTCCCCTCTTCTTTCTCCTCTTCTCCCCTCTCCTCTTCCTCCCCCCTCCTCTTCCTCCCCCCTCCCCCCCCCCCCCCCGCTCCTCGAGGGTCTCATGACCCCGTGGGATGACCCAGAGCCTCGTTAACACCACAATTTGACCCCAAGATCCGGGTGGAGCTTCACACTCCCGCCCCCTGAGAGCAGCCCGTGTCGTGAAGGCGCCCTCCACCACCCGGTCAAACAACGCCCCCCGCCCGCCGTACACTGTAAACCGGCCCCCTTGTGAGTACTTTAACCGGAGTGCTCTATGCTTCTTCCGTAATCTTGTGTTGGTAAATCACATTGTAGTTATAATCACCGTCCGTAGAGCCGTGGTGTGGGTGGCGGCCCCGGCCACACCTTCTCCACCCTGCCACCAGGTGGCCACACTGCCACACTTGAGGACAACTTCCGCCCCCTCCGTCCTTTGTTGACGGACCCGTCACCAGGCAGGGCGTGTAGGGGGACGGGGTGTAGGGGAGGGTGTGTTGGGGGGGTGTAAGGGGTGTACAGGAAGAAGAAGGGGGTGTAGGGGAAGGGGGGAGCCATCAGGGGAGGAGAACATGACCTCAGGGGTCACGCCAGGCGCCAATAACCTACGCTTCTCAGCACTTCTGCCAACATTTCTCCAGACAGGAAGTATTAACCTTCTGGATAGAAGAGTTGAGGATCTAGCCACAGGATAGAGAAGGCTGCAGGACCTGAAATAAGGGCTAGGAGAAGGTAAACAAGGAGAGGCAATCCTGTAAATGGGGCAAGAGAGAGAGAGAGGTAACTAATGGAAAGATGTGAATTGAAAAGCTGTCCTCTTCACCCCCCTCAGTATCTTATATATTGCGATCATGTCCCCGCTGTGTCTTCTTTCCCTTAACCTGTCTTCGTAGCTCAGTCCTCTCACCTCTGTCACTAGTCTTGTTCTAAACCTTTCTAACTGTTCCAATTGTAGTTTTATGCTTCACAAAGTGCGGATTCCATGCCGGTGCTGCATACTCCAGCCCTCCCATAATAATAATAGTACTTATAGTACTATTATATAGTACTATATAGTACTATAGTACTTATAGTACTTAATACAGTACTTATAGTACTATTAGTAATAGTACTACGATGTGCTCACATGTACAAAGACTATTGGGCCAAATAGTTAACTTTTACACTATAAAGTCAGCCCAAATATAATACTAAAAATGGAAAACCAAAGAATCTGTCTATGTCGCAAATAGGGTATCTTAGGCCTAATTTAACTCTGGCTCTTACATGACATTAATGTGATTTCATTATCTACTGAAGACAGTGTTATCTGGTGATATCACTGATCACAATGTTATCAGTAATATAACAGTTTATAGATCTCTAAGTTTTATGTCAAAGATTAACATAATACGGTTAAAATTGTCGTCAATTAACCGACGTGGAAACATTACAAATTAATAACGAATTTCAAAATGTCTTCACTCAGTTGAATGACCATTAAATTTATAATTATTTTCGTTATAACTTATATATATTTTTTTATGATTGGTGCATTTTTATTACTGATATTAATTGTTCTCTTTGGCAATTTCACAGCTTTGATATATTGAGTTGGAAAATAGTTTTGAATTGGATGTTTTGCAATATATTAATTATGATTATTGAGGGAATAGTGAAGGTGATGTTGATGGTGATGGAGCTCTGTCTGTCTGTCTGTCTGTCTGTCTGTCTGTCTGTCTGTCTGTCTGTCTGTCTGTCTGTCTGTCTGTCTGTCTCTCTCTCTCTCTCTCTCTCTCTCTCTCTCTCTCTCTCTCTCTCTCTCTCTCTCTCTCTCTCTCTCTCTCTCTCTCTCTCTCTCTCTCTCTCTCAGGGCCCCCTCCACCCTTCCCAGCTAGCGGAAAGGAATGAGAGATGAGTGAGAGCTGTCTGGGAGACATGACAACAAAGAAAACTCATTTTCACGTTAACTCATTAAAGTCACTTCTTGCCTACCGTCTAATCCCTCCCCCCCCTTACCTCTCTCTCCCCTCGCCCCTCCCTCTCTCTCGCCCCTCCCTCTCTCTCTCCCCTCACCCCTCCTTCTACCTACCCTCCCCATGCTTGTGGCGGCGCCCCGGGAGACGCCGGGGTTCATCAGAGAGAACTGTTCACCTCTCACATGAACACGCAGGAATCCTGGACGTCAACGACGCTGTTAGTTCATTAGTCCGCGTCCTCAGTCAGGTCCTTCCGTCTCTCACCCCCTCCCTCCTCTTCCCTCTCACCTTCCCCTCTCTCTCTCTCTCACCTTCCCCTCTCTCTCTCTCTCTCTCTCTCTCTCTCTCTCTCTCTCTCTCTCTCTCTCTCTCTCTCTCTCTCTCTCTCTCTCTCTCTCTCTCTCTCTCTCTCTCTCTCTCTCTCTCTGAAAGTATGGGAGGGTGGGGACAATCCAAGGACGTAGGAAGGTGTTTCCCCTCTCCCCTCCCTCCCTCTCTCCCTCTCCCTTTCTCAGCACCTCAAGGCTTGGGAGTGTCAGGATACATCAAGGACGTCTGAAGGTGTTCCTTACTTCCTCCGTTTCTCCAGTCGCCCTCCCTCTTATCCCTCCCTCCCTCCCTCTTATCCCTCCCTCCCTCTCCCTACCTTTCTACGTCACCGCCTGAGGGGTTGAGAGAGTCGGGATAGACCAAGGACGTCCCAAGGTGCTTCTTCCTCCCTCCACAATTATCTTTTTATCCGCTGTCTCCCTCCCTCTCTCTCCCTCCCACCATTTCCTTTCCATCCGGGCGTAATTACCGTTCCGTGACCTTTGTTGGGAAGCTTGGGTTATGGGGAGAGTGGCCGGGGCGCTGCTCTCTCTCTCTCTCTCTGTCTCTCTCTCTCTCTCTCTCTCTCTCTCTCTCTCTCTCTCTCTCTCTCTCTCTCTCTCTCTCTCTCTCTCTCTCTCCTCACATAATTGTGCAGGCGGGGGTTGAGCTTCGGCTCTTTGGCCACACCTCTCCAACGCCAATCAACTGGTGTGCGTGCGTGCGCGTGTACACATTGGATGGGTATCCGGTGGTGCCCGGGTCGCCCTGGGGCTTGACCCAGCGTCCGGCAGCGAGTCCTTCCTCTGTAATTATATAAACCAAGGTGGAGGAAAGTAATAAAAAAATCTAGGGCTTGGACCAGCCATTTATCAGTCACGTGGTCAACATGGGGGCCTGACAGCTGAGTGGCCAGCGCTTCGGATTCGTAGTCCTGAGGTTCCGGGTTCGATCCCCGGTGGAGGCGGAGACAAATGGGCAAAATGTTTCTTTCACTTCGAAGCCGGTGACTGAGCGTGACAGAACACTGGACGCGTGATCCTGTGGTCCCGGGTTCGATCCCGGGCGCCGGCGAGAGACAATGGGCTGAGTTTCTTTCACCCTGATGCTCCTGTTACCTAGCAGTAAAATAGGTACCTGGGTGTTAGTCAGCTGTCACGGGCTGCTTCCTGGGGGAGGAGGCCTGGTCGAGGACCGGGCCGCGGGGACACTAAAGCCCCGAAATCATCTCAAGATAACCTCAAGAAGATAGAGGAGTAATTAACACCTTTCTGAGTCCCTGTCTCACGGTGAGCAACTTGACTTGCTCGAGTGTCACTCTCGGACTTTCCAGGTCCGAGTTCGAATCCTCAATGATTCAAGATTATGAGAATATATTCATGTATTCTAAAAGCGGTCGTTCTTGAAGTATAGTTTAGTGAATATAACTGAAAGAATTATTGCAATAATTGTAGCATAAACTTTCTCTCATGTTCCTTCAGAAGGAAGTTGAAAAGTTATCCTTGTAGGTGAAGGGAATTATCAGGGGGAAAGAGCCAAGTCATTACGGCTATATAGCACTGGGAAGGGGTCAGGATAAGGACTTGGGATGGGACGGGGGGAAAGGAATGGTGCCCAACCACTTGATGGACGGTCGGGGATTGAACGCCGACCTGCTTGAAGGGAGACCGTCTCTGTACCGTCTAGGCCAAGTGATTGAGCGTTTGTAGGAGGTGTATAATGTATGTTGTATGAAATGCACATTTGTTGTTGTTTTAGATTTAACTACTCAGAACGAAGTGTCCATGTAGCACGGGCTATGGCGACCCCGTAAAGTACACATTCATTTAGTACACAGTTAAATGATAGTTAAGAGGTTGTGCCTCACCTGTAGAGCGTCAAGGTCCAGTAGAGGAGGGGGGTCGTGGGGTGTAGAGGGGGGGTGACCTTTCACCTCTGACCTTGGGTACTCTCTCCTCACCTGTAATCAAACAAGAGGTAAGAACAAACAAAATACAAATGATATCATCGGTAAGGTGAGAATTATAGAAGGTTCCAACTGAACACATGTAAACTGTGTAGAAGGTTCCAACTGAACACTTGTAAACTGTGTTCAATAATGAACAAAGTAGATCACATTACTGAGAACGGTGTAGAGGACATTGTTCAGTTGTGGGAGCGGGTCAGGCAAGGTGGAGATGAGCACAGTATGAGGTCAGATAGTAGGAACACAGTCTTGTTTATCAACCCGTTCTCGCACTTTCGTATAGTCAATATTGACTTATTAAATACGTGCATATGTGACATACTAAACATACTAGTTTACCTTGAAAAGCTTCATAGAAAACACCGACCTTACCTAGCCTTCTTAGTATGTTAAGATAAGCATCTTATTGCTTCGTAATTACAATTATTTAACCCATACCTATAATAGGTTAAGTAATAATTGTAATTACGAAGCAATAAGATGCTTATCTTAACATACTAAGAAGGTTAGGTAAGGTCGGTGTTTTCTATGAAGCTTTTCAAGGTAAACTAGTATGTTTAATATGTCACATATGCACGTATTAAATAAGTCAATATTGACTGTAAGAAAGTGCGAGAACGGGTTGCGGTTATGTTTGAAATGATCAGACTGTCTCCCCCCCCCCCCCAAGCACCGCCCCCCTCGCCCCCTTTAACTAACCATTAACCTTCCAAAAGCACCATTGACGAGGTTCAGTAAATAATTAAAATCAACAGTAGTATTTCGTGTTGTTATTTTAACGTGAGGTCAACTTGTGGTGGAGGAGCCACCTCTCCGCCTTGTGAGTGACGTAACACAACACCTTCTGAACTGAGCAAGAGAATACCTGCCGGGCAAACCCCAGACGGTCGTCGTTAGAGACGACGTTAGAAAAGACAGTAACGAGTTGCTTCAGTCAGTCCTTGATGTCTTAAGTGCTCCCTAGATATACGTTGGTGGAGATACGCTAGATTGGCAGGCTGAAAACCAGCGTGGACATGATCACAATATACAAGATATTAGTTTTAACGCAACCTGCTTCAAGGGACTGGACACGGGCGGGTGTCAGAGGCCACGGTCTCGGGGACACAAGGAAGTGTACGTGCCTACAGTGTAGAAGTGGTGATTAAGGTTAGTAGTGGTGGAGTCGAACACCGAACCGTTTAGGAAGTTAGTGTGACGAAGGTTAGGTCAGGAGTAGTTACTGCTAATAGGCAGGAGGCGGGGCCCAGGAGGCAGACTTCTTACCCCCACCACTAACACAAACACGTTATCTCCAGATGATTTCGGAGCTTTTTAGTGTCCCCGCGGCCCGGTCCTCGACCAGGCCTCCACCCCCCAGGAAACAGCCCGTGACACCTAACTCCCTGGTACCTATTTACTGCTAGGTGAACACCTTTGTGATATATATATTGTCTCGCTGTCTTAAGGAAACAAGGTTTACCACCACAGTGGAACAATAAGGGGTTCGAACCAGTGTACCCGCGACAGACGCCACAAAAGCCTTCCCTCCCACGCCACTCAGCCGCCCATAAACAATAGTTAATAAAAGGCCAAATTGGGCAAGTTGGGAGTGTTGCCAGACAAGGAGCTCCGGGCACCCCGCGGCTAGGGAAGAGCGGGTACCCGCGAGGGTGTGGCGGCCCGCAGGGAATGGTGCCAGTGCCGGGTGTATAAGGTGCCGGGTGTATATGGTGCCAGCGTCACCGGGACTCGTGGAGTCAACCATCAAGGGATAGATTAATGCTATTCTTAAATGTGCTTTACGTTTGTGTGTGTGTGTGTGTGTGTGTGTGTGTGTGTGTGTGTGTGTGTGTGTGTGTGTGTGTGTGTGTGTGTGTGTGTGTGTGTGTGTGTGTGTGTGTGTGTGTGTGTGTGTGTGTGTACTCACCTATTTGTACTCACCTATTTGTGCTTGGGGGGTTGTGCTCTGGCTCTTTGGTCCCGCCTCTCAACTGTCAATCAACAGGTGTACAGGTTCCTGAGCCTATTGGGCTCTATCATATCTACATTTAAAACTGTGTATGGAGTCAGCCTCCACCACATTACTGCCTAATGCATTCTACCTGTCAACCACTCTGACACTGAAAAAGTTCTTTCTAATGTCCCTGTGGCTCATTTGGGTACTAAGTTTCACTTGTGTCCCCTTGTTCGCGTACCACCCGTCTTAAAATGTTTATCTTTATCTACCCTGTCAATTCCTCTGATAATTTTGTAGGTAGTGATCATGTCTCCCCTTACTCTTCTGTCTTCCAGCAACGTGAGGTGTATTTCCCGCAGCCTTTCCTCGTAACTCATGCCTCTTAGTTCTGGGACTAGTCTAGTGGCATACCTTTGGACTATTTCCAGCTTCGTCTTGTGCTTGACAAGGTACGGGCTCCATGCTGGGGCCGCATACTCCAGGATTGGTCTTACATATGTGGTATACAAGATTCTGAATGATTCCTTACACAGGTTCCTGAAGGCAGTTCTGATGTTAGCCAGCCTCGCATATGCCGCTGATGTTATTCTCTTTATGTGGGCTTCAGGAGACAGGTTTGGTGTGATATCAACTCCTAGATCTTTCTCTCTGTCCGTTTCATGAAGTACTTCATCTCCCATTCGGTATCTTGTGTCTGGCCTCCTGTTTCCACCGCCTAGTTTCATGACCTTGCATTTACTCGGGTTGAACTTTAGCAGCCATTTGTTGGACCATTCATTCAGTCTGTCTAGGTCGTCTTGTAGAATCCTACTATTATCCACTGTTTTAATCCTCCTCATAAATTTTGCATCATCAGCAAACAATGAGAGGAATGAATCTATACCCTCTGGGAGATCATTTACATATATCAGAAACAGTATAGGTCCAAGGATTGACCCCTGCGGGACTCCACTCGTAACGTCTCGCCAATCTGAGACCTCACCCCTCACACTGACTCGTTGTCTCCTGTTACTTAGGTACTCCTGTATCCAACGGAGTACCTTCCCTTTCACTCCAGCCTGCATCTCCAGCTTTTTCACTAGCCTCTTGTGTGGAACTATATCAAAGGCTTTCTGACAATCAAAAAATATGCAGTCTGCCCACCCTTCTGTTTCTTGCCTTATTTATGTTGCCTGGTCATGGAAATCAATTAATCCTATGAGGCAGGACCTGCCATCCCTGAACCCATGTTGATGCTGTGTTACAAAGTTTTTTCGCTCCAGATGCTCCACTAGCTTTTTTGCACAATCTTCTCCATCAGCTTGCATGGTATGCAAGTTAGGGACACTGGCCTGTAGTTCAGGGCCTCCTGTCTATCCCCTTTCTTGTATATCGGACTACATTAGCAGTCTTCCAAATTTTTGGCAATTTCCCTGTTGCCAGTAATTTGTTATACACTCTGGAGAGTGGTAGGCACAGTTCTCTTGCTCCTTCCTTTAGAACCTAAGGGGAGATTCCATCTGGGCCTATAGCCTTTGTCACATCCAACTCTAGTAAACACTTCCTTACTTCCCCGCTGGTAATCTCAAACTCTTCCAGTGGTTCCTGGTTAGCTATTCCCTCTCTTATCTCTGGAACGTCCTGGATACTATTATGCTTGGTCCTGTGTGTGTGTGTGTGTGTGTGTGTGTGTGTGTGTGTGTGTGTGTGTGTGTGTGTGTGTGTGTGTGTGTACCACCATACTTGTACTCGGTGCCTGCAGGATGGAGCTTTAGCTCCTGGACCCCGCTTTTCTAACCGGCGGTTGTTTAATGTAGCAAGAATGAAAGTATGATAAGCAGGGGTGTGGCCAGGGGGTGTGTGGCCAGGGGGGTGTGGCCAGTTGGCGTAGCCAGAGGGTGTGGCCACTGGGGTGTGGCCACTGGGGTGTGGCCAGGGATGTGGCCAGGGGTGTGTGGCCAGGGGGGGGGGGTGGCCAGGGGGGCGGGGTGCGCGTGTAGGCAGTAGCTGAGAAGCTTTCACGTGGTGAGGTGATGTTAGGCGACCTTTGTGAGAAGGTTAACCTTGGCCCCGTGCCCCCCCCCCCGCCTCTCTGTTTACACTTTGACAGGCCCGCCTGTCTGCCCCCTCCACACTCTTCCTGCCCCCCCCCCCTGCACGCCCCCCCTGCACGCCCCCGCACGCCCCCACACGCCCCTGCACGCCCCCACACGCCCCCACACGCCCCCGCACGCCCCAACACGCCCTTGTCGCCCCCTGCACGCCCTCGTCGCTCCCTGCACGCCCTCGTCGCTCCCTGCACGCCCTCGTCGCTCCCTGCACGCCCTCGTCCCCCCCTGCACGCTCTCGTCGCCCCCCGCACGCCCTCGCACGCCCCCGCACCCCCTACACGCCCCAACACGCCCTCACGCGCCCCCGCACGCCCTCACACGCCCCCGCACGCCCTCCACGCCGCTATAATTACAATATCCTGCAGGTGCTGACACCACAACACTGGCCGCCGCAGGTAAGAAACCTTTACCTAGAGGTGAGTGGGGGGACGGGGCCCCCCCCCGCCCCGCCCCGCCCCCCAGCCGGTGCTGGGAACCGCTCACATGTGCCTGCTCTTAAGAGTCGTGTCCAAGCAAGGGGGAGGGAGGGGGGGGGTGTTAAAAACCAGTGTTAAATTGTTAAATTCTAGTTGTGGCGCTGGCTACCCTGACCCGGTTACTGAAGCATAACGACACTTGGCAACTCAGGTCCAGGGTTGCCACCACCATCTTCAATAACCTTATTTAATTAACTATGTCTAACTGCCCTTAGCCCCACTATTGCTAACGACGCCACTATTTGTTTAACAATTTATATTAGGTGTACAAAATTATTACAATATATATATATATATATATATATATATATATATATATATATATATATATATATATATATATATATATATATATATATATTTATTTTTAAAAAGTTCCATAAATGTGAGAAACGGTAACCCACGGTCAAGCTGGCGCTGTTACCATATGACATGTTTCAAAATAACCCTCTTTAACATATTGAATATGTTTAAGGGTGGTTCAATATG